TTGACAGATAAGGAAAACTGAGACAAACAGGGTTAAATGATTCACCCAGGGTCACATAGCCAGTAAGTGTCTGAGGCCAGATTTGAACTCAGGAAGATGAGCCCATCACTCTATCCACCAGCTGCTCTGCAGACAGCTAGATGGTGGGGCAAGGCATTTCACTTGTTTGCTTCAGTTTCCTCAACTGTGAAAAGAAAATAATAAGGCATTTCCCTCCCAGGCCTGTTGAGAGGATCAAATGAGATAATAATTCTAAAGCGCTTAGAACAGTGCCTGGCACACAGTAGGCACTTGTACATGCTTATTCCCTTCTCCTTCCCTATGACTCAGATACCTTCAGCAGAGCTGGTGCAGTGGATATAGTGGCACCAGACCTGGAGTCAGACCTGAGTTCAAATCCAGCCTCAGACACTAGCTATGTGACCCTGGTCAAGTCACTTAACCTTGTCTGCCTCAATTTCCTCAACTGCAAAATGAGCTAGAGAAGGCAATGGCAAACCACTCCAGTTTCTTTGCCAAGAAAACCCCAAATGGGGTCACAAAGGGTCAGACATGGCTGAAACAACTGAACAACAACAACAGATTGCTTCTTTTTTTTAAAAATTGTGGCTACATTTGAGATTGCTCTTATATTTTGCATGTACGTTCAAAGGGAGACATCCACCCTCCCTCTTTGCTATGTTTGTGGTGTTACCATGGGAGCATGAGATACAATAAGGTCTATCCAGCCAATAGACCTGACCCAACATTCCTCAGTGATTTTGCCCTTTACTCTGAGGGGGTTTGAGGGCAGGAAGCCACAGAAATCTCTTGGGGAGTTCCTCAAGTAGAGACGATGTGTGCGCAGCCAAATATGTAGGAGATGGTCCAGTCCACCAGAGCAGGGCAGGGCGTTCTTTGATATCCTCTGTTTTATATATAGTATTAACAATTAATTGAGAGAAATTATTTGACCACTCCATGTTTGACTACTTCATTTCCCTGATATGAATCCCTACTTCTAAGAACAAGGAAAGCCTCAGGAAAATGTTGAGTCAGTAGAGGCTAGGCTCAGTTATCTCTGCAGCCTGATTCCTCCTTGTGACTTGCCCAGCCTAGGTCATATCCCATGTTACCTTCAGAGAGTGACACATCTCTTCAGAGATCTCTACTCTCCTAGAAGTACGCATATCGGACCAGTTCCCTAGAGTCTGAAGTCCATAGGAACAAACCTAAAAGGAAACCTTGTACCAACAACCTGAAACCACTATAAGTGCAGAAATCCTTGACCTTGTTCCAATCTGCCATCTATGAAACAAATTTTAATGATCCCACAAGTGGGGAAATTCCAGCGTGGAACAATGCCTCTTCCAACCCAGAGGTACCACCCATGGGAGACAAGTTAGATGAAGCTCCCCCAATCTCTTCCAGCCCATTGTGTGCCTGTGAACTTTCTGAACCTGATCTTGGGTCTGGCAGGGTAGAGGGGAGGGGTAGGGGGCAGCACAATACAATTTGCTGCATCATCTTTCAACTAAAGATAGCCGGCCCTAAAGAATCCCGCATTGCTGGTTTTGTTCGGGAGATTGTGAGGATGAATTATTCAGGAAGTAGGAAATGTTTCCGAATATTTGCTATTTCACTCTGAGCGGAAGATGCTGGCGCGGGCTTCTTCTTGTTGACTTCACTGAGATAGACATCAGGGAGGGAAGAAGGCTTCACGTTTACCTACTGTGGGCAAAGGGGAGGGGGGCTTGCAATTCAACCTTATCAGCCTAACCACCAGTACATCAATTCTGAGCATGTTTGGGGAATTCTGCTGCTTTTCAACTTCTCCCAAAAAGACCTCCGGATTCATAAAGGAGGCACGTTTATTTATGTAAATTGGCTATATTTTTATAAAGGAGGCACATTTATTTATGTAAATTGACTGTATTGGCACCAGCCTGGCTCCTTCAAGTGTTGACTAGTCCCCCACCTCTGATAAAAAAAGATCTCATTTCATTTCCATTAAAATGCAATGAAAGCACATATATGAATTTAATCATTTTTTGACCGAGTTTGATAGGAGCATTAGCGGTGTTAGTCAAGGAGTGCTGTTAATAAATACTGCTTTTTAATTAAACAAGAGACCAAGAAGCACCCAGCTGGCCAAGGACTTGTGCTATCAATTAAAAAAAAAAAAGGTTGATAAAAAGAAATCACATTTTGCCCCAGGATTCATTTAATTGGTCCCTCTTACTTATCTCTTTGTTAAATTATTTTAGCACCTAAAAGATTCCATATCATTTAAAGGTTGATGTTTTGTGAGGTAAAAGTACATAAGTCCTTCCCTTTCCCAAAAGGAAGATAAGTGAGGCAGATATGGACTTAGGTTTAGAACCAAGTATAAAAATAGAAAAATCAGATTGTGAATTCTTTCTGCCACATTTCTCCTTAGGAGAATAATTTCACAGGGGTCACTAACAAGTCTCCTTATTTGCTCCTACTCTTTTGCCCATCTGTGGAAAAATTCTGTGTATATCATTGCTTCTTCCACCTCCGAATCTGTCTGTGGCCACCTGACTCACACCTTCAAGTCCTCCTTGCCATCCAATTTCTCCACAAAGCCTTCCTTGATGAGCTCTAGTTCAGATGGAGCTCTCCTACGTGCTGAGCACAGTCAACAAGTCATTCCCTGCATCAGAGAGATAAGGACTACATGGAAAAACAAATGGGACTTTTGATGGAAATGAGGAAAAAAAAGGCTTAGCTAAATCTGAGATCCTAAGACTTCTGTCTCAAATTTAAGTCCCAGCACCCCCAAAATAAATTACTTTTTTTTTCCATTCAAGAATTACTTTCTGTACATGGCCATGGCTGTGTCTATCCAAGGTGGTTAGGTCATCAGCTGGACAAAGCACAGGTCAAAGTTAACACCAAAGTGGAAGGAAGGGTAAAGGAGAGAAGGCACCAGATGCCTTTACAGTTGATCCAGTACTACCTTTTACAACTAACTTATGTTCCAAAAAAAATGGGAAGTGGATAGACATGAAGTTATGGACCGTAGTTCTGACCATTTTTTTTCCTTTGAAAAGTTTAACTGCTACAAAACTGTCAGCAAGATAACAAGGCTGAAAGAGCACAGAAACCACCTCAATTAGCAAACACTTAATCTTCTTGCCAAGTGGAGAGACATGGCAACTGGGGGCAATAGTAATTTAGAGTTTCAGCTTGTTAACAAAACCTTCTGGTAGAAGACACAGAAATGCATCAGAATAAAAAGCAGTTGAGGAAAAAAGAAACCCATAGAGAGCTCAGTTTGAGCTCCAGGTAAAACAGATTATGGGTAGGATGTTTGTACTCCAAACTGAAAGGCCTACAACCTGAAACAAAATGGAACAGATCTGCTCATATTTTGACAGCAATCTCTTCTCATCGGTGGTGATAATAGAAAGAATACACCTGAACTCTACCACCTGTGTACCTGTGAGGACGTGTTACTGGCACTAAATAGAAGATGTGAAGACTATTTAGATCTGACCAAATATATACAGGAGAAATGTTTGCTGGATGTGACAGTTTTAATAGGGATTGTTTCTTAAGATATCTCAAAGAGAGAAAGATTCCAAAAGAATGGAAATGAGAAGTGATCTCAGATGGTGCTCTTACCTCCCACTCATGCCCACCACAAAAAGAAAAAGCTACTAAGAAGAAAGTAGCAAATGCTAATGCATGCCTGCTCATTCATATGCTTTCTCATCTCTAGCAAATCTTTATGAGAATGATCTATGTATAAATAAAAAAGAATGAAGATTGAAAATAGGCAGACTTTCAGAGGCAATCGTAGATTAGATGGCCTGTGAGATTCTTTCTACCGATGAGTTTCTGATATAGCATTGGATTTGGGAGCCATGAGGAAGGACAGCGGGTGATCCATAGACATGGCTTTGGCAGAGTGAGGCTTTGGTCAAGGGTATCTCTCTATGTGAGGGGAGCAGGAATGGCCATGCTTTCTTCCCATGAAGACTACTGTGCCAGAAGCAGCATAGTCGACATGACCACCTGAGGGTCACCACCCACAGGATTTAATCACCATGCCACCCTTTTCCCAGGTCCCATTTTCTTTCCCCAACCCCCCCATTTGAATAAATTAATAAGGCTGCCCCCTCTCCAGAGGACTGACTATACCTCATGTCAAACTGTGTTCATCCTTCCACCTTCCCCATTAACCAAACTACTGTTCCACCTGTCAATCAACTCAGTTACTAGCCAATCAGATAACAAGAATAAGAGCCTCCACTAGAGGGATACCTCTCTCAAGCCTGTCCTAATTCAGTGCAAATTACCAAGCAATCATTAATTGCCTACTGTGTGCTTGAGCTTCAAAAGAGAATAATATATCTTTTTTTTTTTTGCCCTTAAGGGGCTCTTGATCTAGTCTTAATGTAACTTGATCCTTCTTTTTTCATGAAATGCTTTTGTCAGTAGTCGAAACATAACTTCTCTTTGATTTGTATCATTTTTCTCTCCAAATCATCTTGGTTCTTGTAAAGTAAATATTTCAAGAGGCAGAATGGTTCAATGAAAAGAGTACTGAATTTGGCATCACAAGACCTAGTTCTAGTCTTGGCTCTGCCACTTACTATGTATGTGACCTTGGAAAAGTAATTTATTTCACTTCTCTGGGCCTCAGTTTCTCCTTTTATAAAATGAGGGGGTTGGACTTGATGGCCTCTGAGGTCCCTTCCAGCTCTGGCTCCTCTATGTGACCTCGGACAAGATGCTGTACCTTCTCTGGGTCTCAGTTTCCCCCTCTGTAAAAGAAGGGATTTGGATTAGATGGAAGGAGGCTGAGGTCCCCTCCTGTGATCCTGTGTGCCTTTGGGCAAGTCCCTTCCCCTCCCTGGGCTTCAGTTTTCTCCTCTTTTAAGGGGCTTGGACTAGGTAGCTTCTGAGACCCCACCAGTTCTCCATCTCTGAGCCTATGAGTTTATCAATAACTGCTTGTTTCTGCTTTCAGGACTGATGGCATAATTCAGTGCAGTTGCTAGGCTGTCGTCGTTCCCGGATGACTGTGGGAGTTAATGGTCATCATCTCAGTTGGAGCTGGAATTGGGTAAGAACATTTGTTCAGAACCTTATATACTTAGTCAGAATTGTGCCTGACTTTTGCCTTAAATAATAAGCTGAGGGGATTTAAAAAGAATCACTTCTGTGTATGTAAATACATGGAAACTCGACACAGTGCTTGCTTTTTTTCAAGACTCTTTGGCTGTGATATATAGCAACGCAACAGAAATCATGTCTTTTATCTTCAGATAAGATTCTTGTATGAGTCATATTTCTAAAATATCACATCTCTTATATAGCTTAATACATGTACAGGAGCAAAATGGGCCGGTCATTTCAGTAATATTCTTAAGGTTGCTTTCCCTCCATAAGCAGATTAATGTCTATTTTGTGAATCATGAAATTATAGAATGTATGAGATTGGAGAAGTCTTAAAGATAATCAAATCCACCCTCTTCATTTTACAGAAGAGGGAACTGAGGCACAGAGGTGGGAGCGACTTACCCAAGGTCACACAGAAAGTGAAGAACAGAACTGAGGCTAGAACCTCATGACTCCTGCTTCTCAGTCTAGTCTGGTGCTTTTCGTTATACTTTACTGTGACTGTCTTTTCTCATCAGACTCAGTAAAGTGGGAGAAATCATTCCTACCTCCCTGAGGATTTTATTAAAACCACAGTGACCCATCCTCAATTAAGGAAGGCAGTTGTTTGGAACTCAATGCATTTTCTCAAAGAAAGATAGAGGAATGATGGTTGAGTCCCACAAAAGCCTATTTAAACTAGAATATTACAGCAGGGCACGTTTAATAAAAATTGATTTAATAGATGGATAGTTGGATGGAATCCTCAATGGTAGTGATCGCTTTTGTTCAACATATCATGAAGACTCCATGAAGACTCTATAAGGGTAGGATTTGGCATAGAGACTGTGAGCCAGGTCCTGAACTCCTTGAGGAAAAAGGAAGAATGATCTAGTGGCTGGTGGAAAACAATCTTCAGGATCTGGTGAGAGTGACATATTTGGATGGAGTAACCTCAAAGGAGGAAAGGATGCTGTGTGAGAGTAGTAGGGGAATATGAGGATAAAGAAGTATTCATAGCCCCCCTTTGGCCCAGTGTGTTTGGGTTTATGAAAAAAGTACATTCAATGTTTGATATGGCTGTCAGGGAACTGCTGATATCCTCTTGTGATGTCCCTACTCCTTGGTCATCTTTTTGACAACCTCATCAACAACCTTGCAGCCCATACTGGAGCCCAAAGATGCATATTTAAGCTTGCTAACTTATATAGTACTTAATGATTGGCAAAGCTCTCCTCACAACACTGTAAGGTAGAGTGTGCATTTGCGATTATCCACCTCCGCCAGATGAAAATGCTGAAATTTAGAGAAGAGATCTGAGGCAGAATCACAGGATACAGAGAATTGGTCGGGACAAGGAGAGCAGTCATTTAGGAAATTTTACAGGGCTTTTAATGACCTCAAACATCTCCATTTAAGGCTTTCTCTTCCTGCCCTCTGCCATATCTGCAAGTAATCTACTTTAGTAAGAAATTTGATGGTATCATAAGGACCCTCATCTTCCCTACTCCACACCTCAAATCCTTTCTGTAACTGTGCTTGTGTCTAGGGAGATGAAAAGATGGAAACCCCATGGTTCCTGACCTCAAGCAAGTTAAAATCTATTAGGGAAGATAGCACATGAACAAAATGACTACAATAAAAGATAAAATATGGATTTCTAAAAGGTATTAATGTGTGTCTTGGAGAGAGCATTTCTAGCTATTGGGAGTGAGGATGATGAGAGAAGCTTTCATAGAGCTAGGCCTTGAAGGATGGGGAGGAATTCAACAAGTGGAGATATTGGTGGGTGGGGATTGGTTGGAGACAGGAGAGCTAGAGATCTTTAGGACATATCTGATAGGGAATGTTTAGAAGAGTCTAGGAAACTGTGCTCAATTCCACTGAGATGTTTGAGAACTTCACTTTCTATTCAACTGCAAATCAAAATCTAGACAATAGATATTTTTCATCCGTTTAGTTTTTCCTGTGTGGATTGTCAGTTTGAACTCTTTTGAGTGATGATGGGTACTATTTACAAGGCTCTGAAATGTTCCTGGAGGTTGATTCAGTCATTATGATATCATACACAAATAGGAGCATCTGGAGAACCCCAACATCTAAAGGAACACCCTCTTTCATTTATACTCTGTTATAAGTATCCTCTAGGATAGAGGTTGGCACCTTTGAGCATATGTGTTTCTGTTTTATGCCTTGTTTGATATTAATCATCAGGAGATCACTGAAAAGAATTGTCTGTGGTTACATCTATTAAAGAATCTTGCATTGCTCAACCCCAAGCTTCTACCTGAAACAAAGAATCATGTTTTTTTTTTTTTTACTGCTGATTTTCATCTGATGGTGTTTTGTAGATGGAAAGCAGGGATCTCTAGAGTCTGTACAGAATTAAACTTGCAGGTCACTAGAAGGGCAACAGAGCAATATGTGGTGGGCATGAGGAGGCGCTAGCATCTTCCCAATGGAGAATTCCAGGGGAGAAACTGTGTAAAGAATCTTATTATTAACTGAGAGATGTAGGATCAGAAAATAAGGTGTAGTGGGAATGAAGGATAACTGACTAATGGCCAGTGTGTATGTAATATCAGTGCAATGTCAAGAGATCAAGATGAGGGGGTTGGACTAGCTCCCGAACATTAAGCAGTCCACTCTCACTCCAGACAAATGGGAAAAGGATGAGTCACACAGGATGAGAAGTCATGGAGGTTAGGAACCTCAAAGTTGGAGGAGGAGGTAATGTCCATGTTCATGGGCTAATCACAGGCCAAGTAACTTTGTAAGCTCTGCCAACCATAAAAGCACTGTATAACTGTGACCCACTGGTTTTGGTTTTTGGTCTGGATTTGTGCTTTGATTGGAATGGGGAATTCCTGGGACAGAAACTGCTTCATGGATGTAGATGAGCTCTTTTGTACTTTAGACACTTAGAAAATTGCCTGGGACTCTGAGAGGATAAGGAACTTGCCCATTGTCGAGGGGGCAACAGTTGTGCTTAGAGTCAGAACTATCACAATCAGAAGCCTGTGAAATCATGCCCAATGAGAGTGGTCTCCCAGAATGACATGTTGACACCATCCATGAAGTTCTAGAATGAGCTCTGAGAAAGAGACATGATGGCTAGTAGCTTGTGAAGATCCTTGAGAAAACGAGGTGATTATTTCAACTTTAGCCTCTACACATAAAGCCACAATTCAGGCAGAATGTTTGTCTCCAGCAAGTGATGGAGCAGCTCCAAGATCCCTTGGTTGTGTAAAGCCATACACAATACGAAATCACAAGGCCCACCATGAGGGCTTCACAGTTGCAAAACATCTCTTAAACAATCAGCTTTCTTTTCCTCATTCCAATCTCAGAACGTAGCATTTAGTTCACGTTTATTGCTTTTTCTACCTTCCTGCTCACATCTTGGCAATGAAGCTAAATCTGTGCTTTGGGACCTTAAGTTATCTTAGCTTCTGGCTTAGTAATAGTTAGCGAGACTTTAGTTTTCTTTGTCATCTGAAGTTGAAGGCATTTATTTCCTCTTTCTGTTCCATGATCAGAGCATTGTAGCTCTACAGCTGGAAGAGGCTGTGGAGTCCAGCCTACTTTTTTTTTTCTATTTTAAATTTATTTATTTTTAGTTTTCAACATTTACTTCCACAAGATTTTAAGTTTCAAATTTTTACCCCATCTCACCCCTACCCCACCCCAAGATGGCATGCATTCTGAATATTCCTTCCCCTAGTCTGCCCTCCCTTCTATCTCTCCCCCCCCTTCTCTTATCCCCTTCTCTTTCTATTTTCTTGTAGGGCAGGATAGATTTCTTTACCCCATTTCCTGTATTTCTTATTTCCCAGTTGCATGTGAAAACATTTTTTTAAACATGTGTTTTTAAAACTTTGGGTTCCAAATTTTCTCCCTTCTTCCCTCCCCACTCACTCTTATTGAAAAGGCAAGCAACTCAATATAGGTTATACATGTGCAGTCATGCAAAACACTTCCATAGTAGTCATGTTGTGAAAAACTAATATTCAAAAGACCAGCCTACTTGCTTTACAGAGAAGAAAACTGAAGCTTGGGGAAGTGAAGTGACTTGATATAAGTCATGTATGAGCGCCCAAATCTGGAGCTGGAAGGGACCTCAGCTAGTCCAACCCCCTCAGTTTTACAGAGAAGGAAACTGAGGACCAGGGACAGGAAGTCACTTGCCCAAGGTCATTTATATGACCATAGATCTGGAGCTAGATAAAATTTCAGATACCATCTAGTCTATAATTCTTATTTTACAGAGGAGGAAACTGAGGCTGGGGGAGGTAAAGTGACTTGCCCTTTGGAGTTGCACAAAAAAAGCCAAGCATCTAGAGCAAGAAGTCTCAGACACCATTTATTCTAACTCCTCATTCTCCTCAAAGAAAACTTCAGGCAGTACACTGAATCAATTGGACCAAGGTTACCCAGGTAGTGTCAGGTGGCATTACAGCCTAGCCTTCACTTGAGAGCCAGTAATCATTCGATGCCCAGCTGTTAGCTATGTAATCCTAGGAGGGTTTTTTTTTTTAATGGTTGTGAAGTACAGAATGTCTATAGGTGCAAATTATAGGCACATGATTATAGTAACAGGCAATATGCTTGAGCCGTAAGAAGATAGTAGTGTAATAACTTCCTTTCAGGTGAACAAGCTGTGCATTTCCACTTCCCCTTTGAAAGGAGGAAATAGACTACTATTATTGTAAGCTTCAATTTCCTCAACAAAATAACATTAAAATGGTTGAAGGAACTGGGCATGTTTCACCGGGCCAAGAGAAGACTCATGGGGAATGAGAATACCCTCTTTGTTCATTGGAAGGGCTGTCACCTGAAAGAGAGATTAATGATTGTACTGCTTGGCCTCAGAGGGCAGAATTGAGAGGAGCAATTCCAGAATGAGCAGGCTTCAGTGCTATATATGTGGGGCGGGGAGGGGAACAAGAGCAGCAAAATTTTAAT